TGCTGCATTTGCTGCTTAAAGTGCCTTAGATTTTGTGTTACTTATTTATCTACTTTATATTTCATTTGTATTTTGTGGCATTCATGTGGACGGCAAAGTAAGAATTTCATTGTACAGAGAAACGCGTTTCCTAACTGTGCATATGAGAAATAAACACTTTGACCCCTAATATAACATTAGATTAATTCAATACAATTAACCCACAACAAATACCATTAGATGTAGTAAAACTGCAAGATTAACACCTTGCAAAGCTTCTTCAAATTGAACCCTGTGCTTTTTAAGACTTCAGACACCCGTGCATACCTGTATTCAGCAGTAAAACGGGAACAAACCAGTGTTGCCAATGTTATACCCCAGTTCTTTTATTGGACAGATCTGAGTAAGCAAGGAGTCCGTCTTTCTTCATTTTAGTGCTGATTTATTTTAAAAGCCACAAATAAAACTAGAAAAATGCATTTCCTGTCGTAAATGCGTGTGGATGCTAATAAGCTGAAAGATCGTCCTGAAAATGCCTGAAATCAATTGCTGAAACAGATGAAAGATGAGAAGAAATGGCTGAAGTTCTTTGTTGAAATAGTTGAGAAGAAATGGCTGAAGTTCTTTGTTGAAATAGTTGAGAAGAAATGGCTGAAGTTCTTTGTTGAATAATCTGAAGGATGGCATGCAATAAAGTAGGGATGACCTTGAAGAGCTGAACATTTTGATACCTGAATGGCTTTTCTAGGTGAAAGTATGCTGAACTTATTAAGATGTGAAAATAGTCCAATTGGACCCCACAAAGTAGGTAAAACAAGTAGGTGTGAGGAGTTATGTAGGGGCATATCCCAATTGCGCACATTTTATGGACCACCAGATGGCACCCCAAGACTGTGATTGACTCAGCACTTTGAGCTCCCATTGACCTGTATTGCAAACAATAAAGCTGAATCAATTAAAAAGTATAAACATCATAAAAAAGAAAAATACAAGCAGGGATGTCCTTGAAGAGTTGAACACGTCGATACCTCAATGGCCTGTATAGCTGAAAGTATGCTGGACTTATAAAGTGCCAAAAAAGGGTGGAAGATCCCAGAATAATAAAATCTAAAGAACAGGAGAACATAGTGTGGATGCTTTACAGCATCCAAACAATTACAAGAGACAACCCGGGTGGCTCCCTCCTTCAGACAAGCTGCTGGAGAAGAGGAGTTCCCGGAAACACAGAGCCTAATACATTTATAAGTTTTTGGGCTAACCCCTTACACAGACAAATCTAAAAATATCACGAGTTGGAGACAGTCCGGCATCTCCTTCTCTTATCTAGAGCTCCACAGGCTTGGAGCAGCTGCGTGTTACCTAGTCATAACAAAATGAGGAATTCCATGTGTGTGTTTTATTACGTA